TGCTTCCCAAACCATCCAGAGCTGCTCCTTCACACATTTCTTTTGGAAAAGATTGTAAGTGATGCCAATGCCGTTTGTTGGATATACAGACACAAAACATTAGCAAAAAAGGAGTGTTTGATGAAGAACATATTTGCTACATAAAATCATCTCAAATTTGGAACAATTCCCCACGCCCTACTGGCAAGCATCGCCTACAAAGTCCTCCTTCCTTCCTATATTTAGGTCAGCTGGGCTGAGTCAAGCCCTCCAAGAGCATCCCTTGCTTTCATAACTTTCTGTTCTAGAAGAGAGACTTACAGTCAGACATGCTTCTTCACATCATATGTTAACCCTCAGAAAGGTAGAAAGTAATACAATAAAAAAATAAGTCAAGTATTGGTGCTACATAAGTTAGACTGTTTCTAAGGGCTTCTCTTGGAATATTCATCTGGCTTACAAAAGCCTTCACACATCTGTAATGCCAAATACTGTTCAAAAAAGTTCCACCACTACAAAAGAGGAACACAGATCTTACATGGGCATTATCTCCTATATCCTTAGGGAACACGCTGCTTTAAATGCTCTGGTTTGCATAACAGTTCAATAAAGTTTGAGTGGCTTGTGTTTGCTCATACAAATATCCATTCTGCTTGGTTTAGCTTCGACTTTCATCAAATTGTTTCCATCTCTACATATGGAAGTCACCCAAAATTCTGTATAAACCAGAGATCTCTCCCCCAAATTATCCCCTCAATTAAAAAGATTTCACATTCAGTGATCACAGCATCTCTCCATTAGCCCCAAAACTCCAACTTAGGCTTCTGAAGTTCCTTAATACCTTGTTACTGTAATCATTATTTTACTGGTTGGCTGGTTTCACCTGTATTTTGAGCTTTTTCTAATCAGCTTTTTCTAATCAGAGTGAGGAGCTCTTGTTGCTCCTCATGAGAGCGCAACATTCCAATTTTTGAATCACTAGGCATATAAGCTAATGCCCAAACTAAACAGTTCAGTGAAACAACCAAATTAATGATCCATAAACTGATCACTGCAGTTATTGAGAAAAAAATACTGATGTATGTACAAGTACGTAGGTGACAATTCTCGAAAGTGACGTAAGAGTGTACAAAGAATAAAGACACAACTGTCATAACACTACTTTCTTTAACAATAAAAATAAATTATGTTGCTTGAATTACTAATTTCAAATTAATTACTAGCTAAAGAGTTCTACACTGTAAAATCATGGATGAAAAAGATTTCTAGCACAGGGATGACACAGGGCAGGATTGTTTTTTCTGAGCAGTATAACACACTTGTTTGCAAAACAGTGGCAAAACAAGGTGTCAATTACTTTCCTAATAAAAACAATAAATTGACCTTCTCTTCCTCATTCAAGAAAACAAAAACCAGTAACTAATATTACCTGCCTGTGAGAAAAATACCTCATTGACACAGATGGCAGTTCCTTGTTGGATTTGCAAAACTCCTTCTGCTCGTGTAACAATTATTACTGTAGTGGAAGTTAGCAAGAAAAATATTCCCCTAGGAACAGTGTCTCAAGTAATCATATCAAACCCATGTAATCCAAGCGGGAAGCCAGCTCCTGTAAGGTTCAGCAGCCCAGGACTCTGCCTTCCCAAACCACGCATGCACCAGCCCGGCAGATGATTGCGCAGCACGCGGACGCGATTCCCGCTGGCTGTGCTGGCACAGACCTTGAAGAGTATCAAACTGCTAGATTTTGCAAACACTGCTGGCATGCACTCACCGAGGAACAAAACAGCCCAAAAGTTTCCGTTGACCTAAACACCGAATAATCTACTGGCGTCAGTGCGAGTCTGAAAGCGGAGAAGCCGATCATTGATGGGCTTCGCTGCCATCTGCAAGAGCTGACACCCGGGGAAAAACAAGCTCAGCAATACAAGCCAGGTGTGCGTACAGCAAATCCTGAGCGGCAGCTGTCTGTGGCTGTTAGAAACCCAGCACACCGTGTTCTCCTGTTAATTATATTTACATATTTGCCATCCACTTAATTACCACGTCTGCCAGGAACTCCGCAGCCAGATTTAGCGGTACAGCACTGTGCCTTCTACCTCCCTTCTAATTAGGTCTAGACAAGGCGATGAACTACAAGCAGCTCATCCAGTTCAGACATGGCCTCAAACATTAAAACTTACTACTACTGATTAACACAACTAACACTGCTACTAAGCCCTTGTCACTATAATGTGCTTCACTCTTACAATTTCCTTCCGCTTGCTTAGTTACTTCCCCTCCAGACCGAGGGCTGCCCTCCTCACCACACCAGGCTCTCCCTCGGTCTGCGCAAGACTGCACAAGACACACTGGCTGCAAATTCCAAAAAATAAAAATCATGCTTCAAATGGCAGGAGTTTAAGAGTCCTCACAAGCCTTCTCCTAATAGAAGCATGCAGTAGAGCAAGAACGGTGGATTTATCAATACACTGACAAACACAAAATAAAACTGGAAAGTGTCAAAGCAGCACAATCTTTCTGGAGGAAAACCAAAAGGAGAGAAGATGTACGTATTTCAGCTCACTTCGCAGGATCCCAAGGTAAAAGAACCTCCATGGATCAGTCTGGTTTGGATGCTCTTTTAGGCTCCTATCAGGAAAAATGAGATTCTAGGTCTGCAAATAACTTGCAAGCACCTCTGTCTTCTGGACAGCAAAGACCAAAGGAAAGAGAGGAGTGAAAACCTGTGTGCAAACACAATATGTCTATGTCCCAGTTTTGTCTGAACACCTGTGAGGAAGGCTACAGGAGACCAAATGTCAGTAACCCTTACACCCTTATTAACATAAAGACTATCAGCATCCCTATTAGGAAGGGACAAAAGGCTTAATCTACATATTTTAAGAATTTTAAGATCATACAGAAGCAATCCTTCATGGGATCCTCTGTGTGGAAAACAGGCAGTTAAACAACAAAACAATAATAAGTGCATAAAACCCAGAGACAGAGTAATGCAAATAGTTAAAATAATATGGGAAAATGCTGAACCTTGAACTTGGCAGTTCACAGTTTTAGCACTCAAGGGAAAAGATAAAAGACATGCTTGTGTTGGGCTTTTTGCAAATGGAGTTGTCCTTTAAACAAACCCCAGGAGAAGAAAAAAAAAACCACAAAACACCACAATATTTGAGCCTCAAACCACTGCACAATGCAGTGAAAATCAGACCTAAGTTAAAGAAAAGAGAAAGTGAGAGAAAAACGTGCAACAAAGGACAACCTAGGCCCTCTGTTACAATGTTTTCCTTGATCAAATGACAGCACAGCCAGGACACAGTTATGGAATTTAAACTCTCACCCCAAACGATTCTTAGGATATTATCATGACACAAACTCTAACAGACAGCACAATCACTCTTGCTATTTTACGTCCAGACAATGAGATACTCTTGTCCTCCTATCTCAAACTCCATCCCCAGGAACTTTCTCATCTTCTCATCAAACTGCCACAAAAATCTGCCTTCTGGAAACACGTTATCTGAATCACTCACACAAAAATCAGTTTACTGCATGTTTTCCAGTGATGCTACAAGCCACTTCAAAATGGTACACAAGAATAGTAAAGGCATTACTGACAATATGGTGCATGATGCTACAGTTAACCTACCAGGCAGTGACACCAAAAATAAGCTACAAATTAGCATCCTTCTTTATCCTGCTGCAACTGTGATTCAGGAAAGGAAACCACAAGAGACTTAAATCTCTTCTAGAAGAGCTATTTATCTCACAACCCATCTTGGGGTGAGACCAATGCCAGGCGAGGAGACTCACATACCCCATACTAGAGGAAGCAAATGGCCACCTTCAGCAGCAACCAGCACTGGAGCAGCTTAGACACGGTGAATCACAGAATGGGTGGGGTTCAAATGGGCCTTAAAACTCATCTAGTTCTAATCCCCTGCCATGGGCAGGGACACCTTCCACTAAACCAGGCTGCTCAGAGCGTCACCCACTCCCAAGGATGCGGTTTCCACAACTTCTCTTGGCAACCTGTGCCAGTGCCTCACCACTCTCACAGTCAAGAATTTCTTCTAAATATCTAATCTAAACTTACTCTCTGTCGGTGTGATGACATTTCCCCTTGTCCTGTCACTACATGCTCTCGTAAATAGTCCCTCTCTGTCTTTCTTGTAGGTTCTGTACTAGAGAACAACCCCAGAGCTGCTTATCCTGCTCTCAGGTTGGGGTTGCCCATCTCTCCTGTTGGAAGACTGAGGGACAAAGGATGCAGAAAAACCCGAGTAAGATTTAGTAAAGATAAAACCCGAACTCACATCATTCCAGTTACCACTGAACCAATGCAACTGCACCCAAGAAGAACAAGGAGGTAGGAAGCAGCCACCCATCAGCTGGTTTAACTGGTTAAAGTCACACTGAGCACAATGCAGTGTCTAGTGGCCAGCATCATAAATATACGTCAGTTTTCAAGTCAGAGGGTTCAATTATGCCTACACCCAGCATCAGCCTGCAGTATTCCAGTTTTATTTTTTCACTTCCATCTCTGGAAGCGTTCAAGGCCAGGCTGAATGGGGCTTGCAGCAACCTGCTCTAGCGGGAGGTGTCCTTGCCCACGGCAGTGGTTTGGAGCTAGATGATCATTAAGGTCCCTTCCAACCCAAACCGTTCTGCGACTCCATGATTTTTAAGTATCCGTAACACACCCGAGCGGCCTATTTTCAGTGCTTAACACCAGTCTCAGTGGTTCTCAGCAGCAGACGATGGATGTCCCCTCCCGGAGGCGCTGGAGCGGGGGTGGCTCCGGCACCGCACGCCCCTTCCCGCACCGAGAGCCGGAGCGGTGCCCGGCAATGGTCACACAGACGGAGGTGAAAGCGGGTTTTTACCTCGCCCTTGAGCCGCCGTGGTGTCTGTGGCCGGGGGCGCCTGCGCGGCGCTCGGGGGAGTCCGGGGGGGAAAGAGAGGGGAGGGAGGAGGATGGAGAAGGGAGAAAGGGGGGATGCCGCCTCACGCCGCTCACTCACCTCGCGGGCGATCTGGTTGAGCGCATCGTCCTCCGCCGTCAGGCGCTCCCGGTTCGGCAGCCGCTTTCTCCCGGCACCCTGCGTCCCCATGGCGGACCCGACGGGACCGGAGCCGGACCGGCCCCGCTCCCCGGCAGCCCCGACCGACCCTCCCGCTCCCTCCGCCGCCTCCGCCGGCGCGCCCGTCACCGCCCCCCGCCCCGCGCATGCGCCGCCGCCCCCCGCCCTGAGGGGCAGGACGGGGCCGTGCCGTTCCCCCTTCCCGCCCCCCGAAACGGGGATGCGGCGGCTCCCTGCGCGGTGCCTTCGCAGTCCCGCTAAAAAAGGGATTCAGGGGGGCCCCTGCCCGCTGTCCTCACGCCCCCCCTTCCCCAAAATCGGAGTCCAGGGGGGCCCTGCTCGGTGCCCTCATGCCCCTTCCTGCTCCCACAGCCCCACTCCTGCCTGGGGTCCCCGGACTCCCCGCCGAGCTGTAGGAAAGTCCCAGCATCACAGAATCGCAGAATGGGTGAGGTTGGAAGGGACCACAGCAGCTCCCATCTGGTCCAACCTCCCTGCTCAAGCAGGGTCAACCCACAACACATGGCACAGCATCGTGTCCAGACGGTTCTGGAGTATCTCCGGTGAGGGAGACTCCACACCCTCTCTGGGCAATCTATTCCAATGTGTAGTCACTTGTATAAGAAAGAAGTTCTTCCTCTTCTGGAGTATCTCTGGTGAGGGAGACTCCACACCCTCTCTGAGCAATCTATTCCAGTGTGTAGTCACTTGTATGAGAAAGAAGTTCTTCCTCGTGCTCAGGTGGAACTTCCTGGGCATCAGTTCCTGCCTGTTGCCTCTTGTGCTATTGCTGGGCATCACCGAGCAGAGCCTGGACCATCTTCTGACACCCTCCCTGCAGTTATTGACAGACATGGATCCTCTCGAGGCTGAACAAGCTCAGCTCCCTCAGCCTTTCTTCATATGAGAGATGCTCCAGTCCCCCAGTCATCCTCGTTACCCTCCACTGGATCTGCTCCATGTCTCTCCTGTACTGAGGAGCCCAGACTGGACACAGTAAATTTGCCAGAAATTGTGGAAACAGGCATCAAAACCTCACCAGCAGCAAAGCTGGGGGATTCCTCTGCCACAAATATGGGGGAAACAGGATAGAAAAATGTCTCCTCGTGCCCTGAACCCTCACACAGCCTCATAGTCCTGTGGGATCTCTTCAACAATGAATTTTCCTATTATGTATAGGTGGACATGATTCATTTTAGTGTCAAGTACATCAGTGCTTAATTAATTCACATTGACAAGGAAAATGTATTTTCTGGAATTCCTGTCACAGCCCTCACACCTTAATTTTCACACTTATTCCCTAAATACGAATTAAAAGTCTCTCAAACTCACGTTATTACACAGACAGAAAAAAAAGGGCTACAAAACCCACCCATCCCCTTCTGACCAGGAAGCTGCATTTAATCTTTATGGCTTAATTTTACCATTGATTTAAACTTGATAAAGGTAAAAGCCAACACCTGCCTTCTCAGTATATATTGGCAGTTTTCATGTACAACACCTGAGATTTGGGTCATCCTCAAGTTAACTGGGTAGAGGTATTGCATCAGTGCTACTCCTTGCACCTGGGACTGTTTATCTTACAAGAAATAAATGATTTCTTGTCAGCAGAAGCGGATGGATGAGTCCCTTACCTTGCTTGGGCATTAAAATGTGCATCACATCCTCAGATTCGGCATCAAGTTTACTCTGACCCCCCACAAGTAGATAAAAAGGGACCTGCTCTGCAGTGCAACACTGGGGCCTTAAACTAAGCTCTTGCCCTGGAGGCAAAGCCTTACCGGGTCTGGTTTTCCTAGATATCCCTGAGGCTTCCCTTCTTCACCTCCCCAAGGCCTGGCTTACCACTATCACCCTTTCAGGCTCTGCATAACTTCTTCCTTGAGCCCTTATCCTTGCATTTGCCCCTGCCCTTTGAGGAATTCTAGCCAGAGAGGCGGGGCAAAGCCTTATTTTTAGGTCCCTGTTACCCAGGGATTTCAGCCACCTGTGCAGCTGCATCACCGTATCCATGCAAGGAATTTCCCGTTCAGGGGTGCAGTAAGATTTGCATCAGTGCTGTTTGCCTGCCTGGCTGAAAGCCCTACAGAGGCTTGGCTGTATGGCCAACTGAACCTTGAGCTAGGCAGTTTTCTGTCCAAAAACCTACTATTGAGGGGACAAAAGGAAGGGCAGAAAGGAATAGAGGGAAATAGAAATATGGGGGCAAAGGGGGAAGAAAGAAAGAAAGAAAGAAAGAGAAATTTGAGGGGAAGGGGTGGAGAGAGGGGAAGAGAGGGGAAGAGAAATACAGGGGAAGGAGGAAGGAAATGGGTGGGAGAAATGAGGGGGAAGGAAAGAAACAGGGAAAAAGAAATCCAGGGGAAAGGTGGGAAAGGGTGGGAAGAATGGGGAGAAGAGAGGGAGGGGAATAAAGAGGGGAAAAGAAATGGTGAAAGAAAATGAGGAAAGCAAAAGGGAGGAAGAAATAGAGGGAAAGAAATACAGGAAAAACAGGGGAAAGGAGGGGAAAGGGAGGAAGGGGGAAAGAAAGTGATGAGGAAGGGAAGGAGGGAAAGATGAAGAAAAGAATAAAGCAGAATTGGAAGAGAACAAGCTATTGGGTGACTGCAGTCAGATTTCAAATTACACATTGAACGTGTGCTGCAGTGTAAGAAATCCTTTTTTCCTCACATTCCAGATACACACAGTAATTTTTTTCTTTTAATATAGACAAAATAAGCCATATTGTTATAAAGTACTATACATACAGACTTTGTTCAGATAAATATGAAATAATGATTAAAAAAACATTAGTTTTGGCTGCACTATGAAGTGCAGTGAGTGAAAATGAAATACTGAATGTACATTTCTTATTTTAACAAGCAACATGAAGTTGAAGCTCATTTTGTCTGAGAGTCGTGAATGTGATTAATGATACTCGGACAACACTGAGTATCCCGTGCCAGTTTTAAAGGGCTCAATTTCAAGTGCACAGTACGTACCTCATTCTCCAGTGTCCTGTGTGTAAGGAGGCTGTTTTGTGCAGAGCACACCCTACAGATACAATTTTCCACTCTTAAACAGAACCACCTTGTAAAACCTCACTCTTGAGAATCAGAACAAGCAATCAGCTGTTAAAACTGGTAGTGGTGTACTCAACAGACCTCTTTTGCACAATAAAATGAATGTTTTTATATTCTGTGCAGGAAAATGTGATTACATCTCTATTAGCAGCAAGCCCTGGGATAGGAGAATCCAGTGGCAAGGACAGTGTTAAAACTGTTAACTGATGGTGTTAAAAGAAAATGTTCCACTGTAAGGTCACAGCATCTGCCAAAACAGAAATGAAGCCTGACAGCTTTAACAAGATATCCATTAGTCCAAGGAGAGTGGAATGCTTGAAGACCTTGGAAAATCTATGCTTAGGAGGCAAATATTTTGTATTGTCAAGATACATGACAGGAGCAGAGCTCCATTAGCACTGTAGTATTTTGCAAACATAACAGCACTGTTATCCAGAAGAGTCTGTGGATTTATTAGTGGAAAAAAATTACATCACAGACAAGTATGTGTTGGCACTGAAATTCTGCAGGAAAAAACCTATTGATGCAACTAAAGGGCTTGTACTTTATTAGACCTCCTAAGGAGCCCAAGATGATCATCTTCAGCAAATCAGACCTCCTGGGAAAAGCTCTCAGGTGCTGCCACATTTGAACAGTGTCAAGACAGGGCTCAGGAGAGTGGTAGTGTCCATGCAGATTTCATCCAGATGAAATTCATTACTGTTGGTTCATCTTTTCAAGTCAGCAGAGTCTCTATTTGCATCAGCAGAGCTCTGACCCTCTGGGAACCCTTATTAGCTTTGTCATGTCTAGCCTGGGGCTTGTAGTCACACAGCAAAGCCATAACTGATAAGTGTCTTCCCAGGTGGTCCAGAAAAGAGATCCATGAGCTTGGGTTGACCAAGAAGAATACAGTCCATAAAGTTGTGAGCTTCCAAGCCTTTAGGAGGACTGGAAAAAAAAATATCCCAGAATGGCAGGAGACAATTATCTTGATCACTTTTACCAACAGCAACTTACATGCTATACTAAAGATGTGGGTATATTTCTGAAGAGAGCTTATGTGTTGCCTTCACCTTGCCAAAACCCCTCAATGACTTACTGGCCTCCTCTAGTCACCTTAGCGTGCCATGAGAGAGTTTTTCATCCATAAACTTTTTGCAGGTCACTGAAGATGCCACTATGAGGATCTCAAGGTCTCGGTATTGGATTTCTTTTAAGGCTGAGGAAGAATCTTCCTTTGGAGGGACTTTTTCAAAGGTTAACCTTGGGGTTGATTTCATTTAGTATTTTCATCAGCACTCTGACACAAATAGGACAGCACTAATGAAATAAGCTGATGACACGGTGTTATGAAATGTCACCAAAAAAGGAGGATAAAGTCCTACAAGAGGTTAAGGACTGAGAAACAAGTGAAGTGAAATCAAGCAGACAGACAATACCATGTCAAGAGCTAAATTCATTATCTCATCAGCTGTTAATAAGGGAAAAAGAGGAAGTTCTGGGGTCATAAACTGATCACAGATTGGTTGTGTGCCACCATCACAACATAAACACCAAAAAAATTGCATTTAACGTTAGAGCACTTCAGGAAAGGTCATTGCACGACCATCCGCAAGACCTTACCTAAAATGGTGCCTGCAAGTCTGCCTTTCCATGCTAAAAAGAAACCAAACTTGAATAGCTGTGAAGAGAAAAGCTCCTAAGATAAGCAGCAGCAGGAGTTTACCGAGATGAGAAGGAGTTGGCTTGTCTAGCCAAAGGCAGAACAACTACATTTCTTTTCTATAAACTCCGTTAGAGATAAAAGGGATGAGGATGATGCTATATAAAACTTGGAGCCAAGTTAGCACAAAAGCATACAGCTAAACAGGCCATATATAACTGTAGTCTGGAAATCAAGGGTTTCTTGCCAAATTTCTGGACATGCATCCAAAAGCTGTTTTCGGATAGCCAGGGTGAAGTATGTTAAGTCTGTGGTAAGCACTATACTGAGAGTCTGTCTGCCTTAACAAGCACTAGTC